CCTGCTTGCTGCCTGCCCGGCCACCCGGTCGGAGACCCACCAGGAGAAGGGCCCGGGCGAGACCCGCTGTGGACAGGCATTTCCCGCCGTCGTTATCAGCACCGCCAGGTCCGGGTGGGAGCGGGAGCGCGAGCGCTCGCTCTTCCTCGGAGTTTCCTTGCACGCGGAGTTCAGGGAACTCGGGGGCCGGCCGGCTGCCCGTCGCTGGGAGAAAGAATGGAAGGGAAATTCCTGAACACCCGGCATAGTGAGTGGTCGTACAGTTGGCACACGGCGGGGAGGCTGCGGTGGGAGCCCCGGCCAGCCCCTTCCGACGGGTTTCTGCTAGGCTTCAGGTGTGAGCAGAGATAAAGGCATGATGACCGAGAATGCTTCTCATGTGCAGTCATGACGGGTTCAGCTAGGACTAGGGCCTGAGCCAGCTCTGCACGGCGCACGCAGGGGTGCGATCTTCTAACGTAGCCGGAGCGGATTTGATGCGGATCAACAAGTAGTAGGAGAACGCACGTGTCTGTGGGACCTCCGGGAGGCTGGCTTTTCTGTTGACTGACTGGTCTGAAATTTGGTATTCCTAGCTGCGTGGAGGAAGGACAGTGACAAGGTCTTGATGTCTTTATCCTTGGGGGTCCTGGAGGCAGAGGGGGGGCCTCCTCCTGGGAGCTAAGGTGCCTTTGTGAGTGGATGATATTGGCAAATATCGGGTGTTTCCTGTGGAAGTTCTGATCTTGACTTATCGGTTGCAGTTGCAAAGCCAGAGCCATTGCAATCCCTGTTGCATGTGTATTTTTATTTTGTGGACACACACTCACATTTAGAACTACTGTGAGCAGCACAGGTTTGAATTTTTTCGTGCCTAGCGTTCTATCTTTTATGAAGTGGGAATTAGGGTAAACTGTAAGGCGAGGATCTCTTGCTTGCCCACTACCCAGGAGAGAGTTCCCTGAAAGCGTCCCTGTCAGAGCTGGAGTCAGGATGGGTGACAGCCCTACTTTTCCCGGACTCCATGATGGAGTTTCAAAGTCTTGGTTTTTGTCAAGTCATGATGCTTGTAAGACAAGTGGTAACTGGTGATGCTCACCTCAGATTACTCTGCACATTTGGAGAGGCTATTCAGGTTTCCGGATGTAGGCTAGTTATGAGCAGTCGAAGGTGGAACGGATAGCAGTTATTTTAACAGGTCCTGAGTCCATTGGGACGCGGCATCCCTCCTACCGATCACACGGGAGCTTTGAGAGGGTTGTTTTTCCTGAATGGCTTTGTAGAGCTGCGTACCCCTAGCACCCGTCAGCGGAGGCTTTCACGGGCCTAAAGTTTACTGGGAGACTGTTTATCCTCACCTGAGGATATTTTTTCCATTGATTTTTTTTTTTTTTTTTTTTTTTGGAGAGAGGGAAGGGCGAGGGAGGAAGGGAAAAAGTCGGGGGCGGCGGGGGGTGGGGGAATTGATTGCTTCCTGCACATGTCTCAACCTGGGTTGGGGCTCGAACCTGCAACCCAGGTATGTGCCCTTGACCAGGAATGAAACCAACCACTCTGATGTGCCGGCTGATGCTCTAACCACTGAGCACACCAGTAGGGTGGTTTATTGAAAGACTTTTGACTTTATAGTCATTAGTAACGTGGTCATTTGATTTTAGTTTGTGGCAGGTAAATGCACAGATATGTTGAATATTTTCACATAACAGTGCCTAGCCTGGGGCTTACTACCATGAGTATGAAGAACTTGTTTTGTTTGAATTTTGTCTTAACCAAATGACTGCAACAGGAATGTCCATGTATGTGGGCAAGGGAAAGTCTGATAGGATGAAAGGCACATTTAAAATAAAAGAGAAGAACCTATTATGATGTACATGATTTTTCTACTTTTTTTTAAGCTTTCGAATTTGTCTTTTGGTAACTGAGTTTGTAATTGGCCTTGTGAGAGTGAAATTTCCTTTAGTCTGCATTTTTTGTCAGAATTTAAAGAGGTTTTGATTTTCTTCTCCCAGTGAAGCGTGACATCCAGGAGAATGATGAGGAGGCAGTGCAGGTCAAAGAGCAGAGCATCCTGGAACTGGGGTCTCTCCTGGCGAAGACTGGACAAGCTGCAGGTAAGTGCTACGAATGGATTGCTTTCTCCTTTTACCTGTAATGCTGGGTGAAGTTGCAATTTTTTGTTGAAGGAACATAGGAGCTTCACTTTTTTTAGCAAGAGGTTAAGTGGCCTTTAAATTCAGTTCTTTCACGGGAGAGTTTTGTTCTGCAGCTGCAGGAAAAGCTGTTCCTCTTAGATTTAATGATCTGGGATTAGTTTGTGGTTTGAATTTTAGCTGTATTCCCATTCATACAGGCAGCAGCAATAGCAGAGCAGTCTTCAGTGATTTCACTGAGCAGCTCTGATTTATCTAAGGTGGGTAGTGACTTTAGGCTCCAAGTGTGTAAATGACTAGGGATTTTGCATGTAAGTAAGTAACTTAATGTCCTTTTTTTCCTGCTACAGGATGGGTCAGACATTAAATGGGAAGAGCCTTCCCAAGATTTCTTAATTGATACCTAGGTCTTTGTGCATGTCATTGCCCAAACATTCTAGTTGTGATTGAACCATTGACTTTCTAGGCTTCAAATGGTGATGGGTATGTCCTTAGAATAAGATTCTTATTGACCATGAAGGGCCTTTGACTAGTAAAGTGGTAATAGTAGTCAGAGAAGCCCGCTTAAACTTAAAATGGATGATTTTTGGTGACCTTATAGTGAATTTAGAGTTTATCTGATTAGAATGGATTAAGCTCTGGTAGGTGACCTCATGAATTACTTTCCCCCAAATTATGTTGTTATCCAAGAGAATGTTAGTTGTAAGATAGCAAAACTTCCTGAACTTGAGAACTAAGATCTTTCCCAGTTAAGGATGACAAATTATTAGGCTAAATAAACAGAAAGTTGTGTGAAATTGGGAGGATATGTTTCTGTGGGTCTTTATCTTACTTAAAATATCTATAATAAGAAAAATAGCCTTAGCCGGTTTGGGTCAGTGGATAGAGCATCAGCCTGCAGACTGAAGGGTCCTGGGTTCGATTTTGGTCAAGGGCACACCCCCAGGTTGTAGGCTCGATTCCCTGCAGGAGGCAGGCGATCAATGATTCTCTCTTATCATCGATGTTTCAATCTCCCTCCCTCCCTCCCTCTCTCTCTGAAATCAATAAAAATATATTTAAGAAAAGGAAAAAAAAACGGTGAAAATGACCAAAAGTCTTTTAAAAAAATACACACAAAACAGTTTTTGAGTGCTTACTAGGACCTACTCACTGGTTATTTTATTTACTTATTTTTAATCCTCACCCAAAGATATTTTTCCATTGATTTTAGAGAGAGTGGAACAGAGAGGGAAAGACAGAAATATCGACGTGAGAAAAACACATCGATTGCTTGCCTCCTGCACGTGCCCTGACCAGGGCTGGCCGTCAGGGCCAGGGAGAAGCCTGCAACTGAGGTACATGCCCTTGATTGGAATTGAACCTGGGATCCTTTGGTCTGCAGGCCAACCCTCTGCTCACTGAGCCAAACCAACTAGGGCTAGTTACTGTTTTAAGCACAAACATGGTTTAGCTTATTGAATCCTTGAAACAACTCCATAAGGTAGATTCTCTTATCTATTTACACCCGAGGAAACAGCACAGGAAAGTTACTGTCTTACTTAAGGTCTATCAGCTAGTATGTGAGAGAGCCAGGATTTGAGCCCATGGAGTCCTATTACAGAGTTCATGGCCTCATGGTGTAATGGTTTTTGCTCCCCATAGTTATCCCCTTATGGATTATCAGTGGTGGGTGGTGTGTTTTTTTATTTTATGTTGACTTCCCTCCTATTTAATACAGGTATGGATTCTTTTTGCCCGTCAGTTAATGTGAGCTTTGAAGTTAGAGAACAGTTTTGATAATTAGTCCATACAAAATATTATTAACAAGATCATTTTCTTGAAAGAATTATAGAACCAAGTGAAATGATTTAAGATTTTTCTGTTACTGAAACATTCAAATGTCTTTCCCTGAAGTAGCATAGATAGTTAGAAACGGCATGTAGTATATAGTCAGTGCTTCAGAAAATTTATCCCGCCGAAACCGGTTTGGCTCAGTGGATAGAGCGTCGGCTTGCGGACTGAAGGGTCCCAGGTTCGATTCCGGTCAGGGGCATGTACCTGGGTTGCGGGCACATCCCCAGTGGGGAGTGTGCAGGAGGCAGCTGGTCGATGTTTCTCTCTCATCGATGTTTCTAACTCTCTATCTCTCTCCTTTCCTCTCTGTAAAAACTCAATAAAATATATTTAAAAAAGAAAAGAAAAGAAAAGAAAATTTATCCCAAAATGTTGTTTTACTTGAAATTTCCTTTTTCATGCTTTACTCTCTTCTTATTCTTGCCCTCCCTTCCTTGTAACCCATACCTGAGAAGTTTAGAAGTGTACTGTTAATCCTATTGGAATTTAACAGGTGAATCATAAGAACTTTTAAAAACTTGTTTTCTAAGGAAGAATGAGAATATAGGTATATACAATAGAAACCCTAAGGAAGTCTTGGGGCCTGCATTCATTTACCTTATTTAGCTATTAGTAATTGATAGGCTTGTATTGTTTTCTTTGATTTGGAGATTTCTGAGAACAGAAAATATGTGTTTCATGAATCATCAATTTTTATGTGTTTAATACATGGCTAACACTGTGCTAAGTACTCTATTCAAAAAGTTTAAGATAGGATCCCTGACTGACAGCACTCATTTTGGGACTCAGTGAATCAGATTGTGTCCTGTGCAAAGTCATGATGGAAAGTATTGCTGAATATTATCAGGCATGGTGCCTAGGTGCAGGGTCTGCAGATTTCATAGCCTGAGACTATGAAATTATGTTGAGTTCTGTGAGGTTTTAAAAGGGGAGTTCTGATCATATAATTGCAAATGATCTCAGAATAGGAGGAAGGAGTTATATGATTCCGTGGAAATTTACAAATTTAATTTAGTATATGTGAACATGGAAAGAAACAGGGAATGGATAAGAAACAATAGTAGGCTAAAATAAAAAATGAATTGAGTCTTTTGGCAACTAAGAGGTCATTTGTTTCTCTGTTAGTGTGAAGAGAATAACACACTCAGTGCTTGGAGAAAATACTGTCATGCTAGCAGGTGCTAAAGAGAAGGCACACTGCTTAGCCCATGTTTTGCTTCTGCCTTTTCCAGGAAGGAAAATGGTTTTCAAAAAAGAAAAAGATAGAAATAATATCAGAAAGAATTAAAGCTAAGGTAGGTGAGAGAAGAGAGAGCAGCAGTCTCTAGCATCATGGCATAGGGAATCTGTCCTTGTTCTCCTGGTCAGCATCTGATGGCTGAAGCCATTTCAGAAGGTGTGCTTATTTTTGTAGATGACTCAGTACAGGACAGAATTAAGATTTAGAGTTATTGTCAGAGCCAGCAAGATTAAATTCTGTGTGCTAAGAATAAAGTTATATACTTAAAATATTTATCAAAACAGAGGAAGGTGGGGAATTACCTGTCTCTGCAAAAAGATCTTCATGGATTCATTGAACCAAGAGTGCTGTTAGAAAAAGCGAAACACGCTATTTGTGTTACATAGGGTGGCTAGGTGAAAAGAATTAAGACACGATTCTACTGGTTGCACCCTACCTGGAGCACTGTTTTCAGTTCTGGGTATTACAAGTGGTATATCTACAAACTGGAGTTTATTCAGAAAAGGGCAACTAAGGTGATAAGGAATCTGGGAACCAGGACATTGGAGGAACAGTTGAAACAAGTAAAAATGTTTAGCTTGGAGAAAGGGAAGGTTGGGATAGAAACGTAGTTGTCACCAAATCTCTGAAGCCACTTGGAAGGAGGGTATAGACTCATGTTCCAAAAAGATTTAGTTTGACCAACATTGGAGTAGCTTGCTTTCTGAACATTTCTGTCACTCAAGATTATTCAGAATTGTTCAAACATAGTAGATAATGCTGTGGGAGAAGAGACATCGCACTAGACTGCTTTTAAAAGCTATGATTATATAATTGGAATTTGCATAAATGCAGAGTGATTTTGAGGGGGAGAAATCAGTGTAGTCTGGATGGCTTGGAAGACTTACCAGGACTTTAGTTGGACTTAAAGAGATATGTGAGTCACCTAGGTTAAGAGGATGGGGAGAAATTCCAGATGGGAATGCAGCATGAGTGAAGCATGAGAGCAGGAGTGTGAATGGGGGGAAAATCTTAGACAGTAGAAATCAAAGGTCAGTCTTGGCAAGAGAAATATGAACCTTTCCACTCTGTGTAAGGTTCCTTTTGTACCTGACATAGTCCCATGCATCCCATGACTTTTCAGGCAGATGAAGATTTCAGGACCCTGAATTAGCATTCTCAGGAGGGTGAAGTTTGCTTGCCCTGATTTAGAGTTCTCAGGAGGGTGAGTCTACAATTGGAGAATAATAAAGAGGCAATGACACTATAGTAATTTTAACCTACATTTCAGAAACACTTCCTTATTTGTCACTTGAAATATTCTCTAATTTTTAGAAACTCCTGATAATGATGTTCCCTTAGAATTACTGTATCACTTCTTTCTTTATACAGGGGGAAACCTTTATGGTGGGCCCCTTTTTTGATCATAGTTCAAGACTTACGTTTTGAAGATAAATGAGGAATATTAAAAGGGAAAAACACCCTAACTTTTATGTAAAACGTTTATTCAAAGGAGTGCCTGGGAACTGATATTGCTAAAAGGCTACGCTGGGGAGTACTTGGAAATCTCTGTTCAGGGGGAACTGCTAAGGCTGATTTGAAAATTAAAAACAAACAACTCCTATAACCTGTCCAAGGTGGCAGAGGCACAGCATATTCTGTGTTCTAGCAAACTTGTCTCTGGGAGTATGAGTACGTTGCTGTTTATCTTTCATTAAAATGGATAAGTGAGGCAGAGAGATGAGCTTTTCCCAAGGCCCTTACAGTAATCCAGTGGTTGAGTGGGGAATAGAACAGTACAAATTTGGTATATGTTGTTAGCTTATTTTTGCTACTCCTACTTGTAAGAATGCTTTCAATTCCTACTAACTTTCATTTAGACTGATTCCAGTGATGTAAGTACTGATTTTATAATCTTGGGTTATCTTTTAAATGTGTATTTTGTTCCTAATATTGATGTTTATTTTTTTCCTTTCTGAATTGCCTTCATTCAGAGCTTGGAGGACTCCTGAAGTATGTGCGACCCTTTTTGAATTCCATAAGCAAGGCTAAAGCAGCTCGTCTTGTGAGATCGCTTCTGGATCTGTTTCTTGATATGGAAGCAGCTACAGGGCAGGAGGTAAGATGTTTTAATGACAAGAAGGTAGACATTATTTTTAAAAAGTCTGTTTTGGTGAAAGCAGTGCCTGACTGCGCTGTGGCACTCATGTAGAAGGGACAGCTGGGAGAACAGCTCAGGACTTATCATGTCAGTTTCTCTTTGTTCCAGGGCATTTGATACTTTGGGTCTGTTCCATGCTTTGCTTTGTAAGTGGAGATTGTTAGTGGTCCCTGGAATCCTCATTACATCAGGGTCACAAACTGATTCTTGCTTTTGAGGTATTGTATTGCCACACTTTTGTAATGTTTTCTGTGTCTATGGTACCTTTCATTCAGTGTCACAAAGCTTGTGAGCATTAATTAAGTCTTGAGGCATCCTTTCTTAGCATGTTTTGTACGAGTATATGTCTTTCTTGAGGGGTGAGTATCCATCCATCTGTTTGTGTGTCGTGTGCGGAAGCCACTGGTGTATCTGTACATATCCTCTACAAGTTCAGACTTAAACCCTGACCTGTGTTTGAAGAGTTCCTCTTTGGATTCACTGAGCCTCTTCCAACCTTTTCAAAGATAGCTGTATTTACTGCAATTTAGGGGAAGGAGACACTATCAAAGTTAAAACTTATTCTGTAAAAAGTGGCAGATGCAAGCAGAGTATATTGTGGTTACTTGAATCTGTAGGAATAATTGTTTGCTGTGGCCTCTGGGTGTAAAACCAAAAGGTATGAAAGGGCATAGTAGCATATTGAGTAAATAATGAGGCATTTCAGAAACCTAGGACATTTAGATTCCACTTTGAAATCATGTCTTTTAAATGGCATAAACTAATTTTATTTGTAGAGAAGTCTTCACATTAGTTTGTTCCTGGCAGAACTATGTTCTTTTTAAATTGTACTTTGTGCCCAGCTGGTGTAGCTCAGTGGTTGAGCATTGACCCATGAACCAAGAGGTCACTGGATTGATTCCCAGTCAGGGCACATACCCAGGTTTTGGCCTTGATCCCCAGGAGGGAGTGTGCAGGAGGCAGCCCATGATGTTTCTATTTCTATCCTCCCTTCCTCTCTCTCGCTCTCAAATCAATAAAAAATAAATAAAATAAATTGTACTTTGTACTCATGAGAAAGTGGCACCACCTTTTTTTTGAAATAGCGTGCCTTTAGAATGGGCTGACTAAATGATAGCTTGAAACAAACCAATAAATGTTAGTTGGAACTTTTTAGGCAGAAAAAGTTAATTATCCAAGCCACTCCTTTGTATACTGGTTCCTGGAATTTGTCCCTTCCCATAACATAGAGCTGACTTAGTGGCTAGAACTGCATTGTTTAGCAGTCAGTTCTCCTACTTCTTTATGGAAATCTTTCCAAATCATAATTTAGTACTCGCCTATCATTGTCTGATGCAATTTACTGGCCTTTATATCATGTGGCTCCATGTCTGGTAAGGCTCTCCCTTAACTGTGTTTGTACATTGCTGTTGTTTATTTGTATATTACATTTTTGTCAAGTAGAACCCTTTCTTCCTTTTCCTAGGGTGAAAGGAAACACTCTTAGGTATTAGGTCATTATGCCATTTTTGTGCTAAGTATAGGCTGATTTTTTTTGGGGGGGTGGGAATGATTATCATTATAGCTTTTTATTGAGAGCTGGTCTTCATCCATGTAACAGGACTTTTTTTTCTTTTAAATAGATTTTTATTGATTTCAGAGAGGGAGAGGGAGGGAAAGAGAGCTAGAAACATCAATGATGAGAAAGAATCATTGGTTGCCTTTTATGTCAATGTTGATAGAAACATTACCTGCATGCCCCACACTGGGGATCGAGCCCACAACCCTGGCATATGCCTTGACTAGGAATTGAACCATGACCTCTTGGTTCATAGGTCGATGTTTAACCACTGAGCCATGCAGGCGGGGCTGTAGTAGGATTGTTTTTTTAAAATATATTTTTATTGATTTTAGAGAGGAAGGGAGAGGAAGAGATAGAAACATCAGTGATGAGAGAGAATCATTGATTGGCTGCCTTCTGCACACCCCCTACTGGGGATCGAGCCCACAACCTGAGCATGTGCCCTTGATTGGAATCAAACCCAGGACCCTTCGGTTTGCAGGCTGACACTCAATTCACTGAGCCAAACCTGCTAGAGCTTTGTTACTACATTTATTTAGGTGACTACAGGTCTCTGACTTGGATATAATCTTCATCTTAGAAAATTCTTTGATTGAGTGATGGTAAAGGATAGAGGAGCGAGTCACAGGTGGATCGCTCTCATAGTAGTATTGAGGCCTGAGACAAAATAGGAAGTTTTAGAACACTTTTATGAGAGCTAAGACTTTGTGTTGGGGAGTTTGGAACCAAGAGTATGGGGGAGGGGCTTTTCCTTGCTTTTTTTCTATTTGGGGACTAACCATAAATTAGATAGATCTGCAGAACAGTCTGCAGCTTGCTCTTTTCTGAAAGCTGATACTATTCAGATTAGGTTTGGGTCAATTTCCGTACTAAGGTTTAGAGCTTAGAAAATGAGGATATATGTATTAGGTTTGGGGATTGGGCAGGGGAGTGGGAGTGGGATGGTTGGTAAGGGGAGGGGAGTAGAAAATTGGGTTGAGGAGGAGAGAAAGGAAACTGAACCAAAATCCTTGCCAAATAATGAACTGAAATCCCAGAATTTACCTGAACTTCCAGGGCTTTCTAGGAAATTGCCTATGGGAAGCTATTTTTTTTTTTTTTGCGATAGTCTAACTCAATGGTCAGCAAACTCATTAGTCAACACAGCCAAATATCAACAGTACAACAATTGAAAATTTTTTTAAAAAAATGTATTTTATTGATTTTTTTACAGAGAGGAAGAGAGAGAGAGAGAGAGTTAAAAACATCGATGAGAGAGAAACATCAATCAGCTGCCTCCTGCACATCCCCCACTGGGGAAGTGCCCACAACCCAGGTACATGCCCCCGACCAGAATCGACCCTGGGACCCTTCAGTCCACAGGCTGACGCTCTATCCACTGAGCCAAACCGGCTT